AAAATTTATGTCTTAGATGTTTCCTCAGATATTCTACAAAATAATTAAAATTGGTTTATTTCGATTTTCTTAATGAATCCTTCACTTTGACTCATATTTCATGAGCAACCAACTCGGGAACGGCGGCAGAATGCGTCACCTATTTTCGTGTACAATGTTTGATCTATAAATAAGTCGAGAAAAACACGTTGTATGGATACCGGGTGGTATAATTAACTTCTCTTAGTATTTATCTTTAATATCAATTCATTATAACTAGTGACAATTCCTTCAAAGAACCACGATTTAAAAAAAAAAATAGAGACTGACAAAATATGATACGTAGCGTGATTTATTGCTAAAAGTCACTGAAACAACATAAGAATATGGTCCACTTTGTGTTCCATAGAAATTTTCTGCTGACACGGAATCCGCTAGTTGATCACGTGACTTCATTCGTTGGAATATATTCTAGCAGACGACACTTGGAATTCCGATTACCGCTTGGGATTATAAGGAAATTCGGCCGATAAAAAATGGTGACGTTTGGTAATAAGTGAAATCCGCCATTTTGTATTTGTCAAAGTATACATTAATACATTTTACCTTGATTGAAACTACAGGATTCACTCTACTAGCTGATATTGTAGAGAAAACCAATATGTTTATTAAAACAAACTAATGCGGAGGTCGCGCAAGGTCGCTCATGTAAATTATTAATCCTTTCCGGAAATCCACGAATAATAGGTTTCCACGAAATTAGGTTACTCGACTGTATATGGGTTTTAATGTCTATGAGATTTGTTTCCTGGTTGGTATAGTAACAGGTATAATATATTTGAGATTTGTTTCAGGGCCTGGTTGGTATAGTTACAGGAGGTGCATCAGGATTAGGAAAAGCAACAGTAGAAAGATTTGTTAAACAAGGTGCCAAAGTTGTTTTATGTGATATAGATACAACTTTGGGTGAACAAGTAGCCAAAGGACTGGGTGAACAAAACTGTTTATTTGTACCAACTGATGTAAGTGTTGTAAGAGGTTTCTTTTTCCTTGTATGTGTATCAGGGAAGCTTATAGCTTCTGTTTGCACCACTTTGATTCCTGAAAATCTTTTGTGGTTCCTGTAATTCTATACAACTTTCAGTTTATGATCAAACCATAGTTCAGCTGAGTTTACAATACCAACTACCAGCTTTGTATAAACCTTTCTCTCAGTGTATAAGAATAAACAGGTTTTTTTTTAAAGAGGCAGTATGCAAAATTTTCAAAATGTCTTAAATTTAAATTTTTTTAAAAATATGCTATTTACTTAGAATACTTGTTTGGTGTTGGTCCTTTTAAAGATAATTATAGTTGAAACCTTTAGAATACATAGGAGACATATCTCTCTACAATAAGGCATTAATTTTACTTAAATCTGCATAGTAGTACTACCAACAAAAAAATAACGAACTTAAAAAGTTTATTTAAACCTTTTAAATAGTTTTAGAATTAAAAAATTAACAGCCAGATTTTTCAATTGAGTTACTGGACACATTTTGTCTAGATTTTGGTTTATAGTTTTCTTAATTTTGAGCAGTGTTCAACTTTTTGTCAACACTGAAATTCTTTATTTTGACTTTTGTCCCAGATTTGCACAAATACAGTCGTTCCGTTTTTTATTAGCTTTTATTTTAAATAGAGCCACTTATGTTAGGGTCTAAAGACTGCCTTTTGAACATAACCTTTTGATCTAATCTGCTGATGAACTCACACTGTGTTCAAGAGGGCCATCTTTAGACCCTCACTGAATTGACTAAATTGAAAATAAAAGTCAATAAAAAATGGAACAAAAGTGTGGTCTAATGTTAATAAGATTACCAAAAAGAATAGCTGCATGTCGTTGTGATTGCTTTTTGATATTTTGATCAAGGTGAAATCTGAAAATGATGTATCAAATGCTTTGAAAATAACAGAGAAGAAATTTGGACATCTTGATGTATTGGTTAATTGTGCAGGAGTAGTACATGCAAGTGAAGTATATAAATTTAATCAAAATAAACCGATCAATCTAGAGGCCTTTGAAAACTCCATAATGGTAAGATATATAGATTTATTTTGAATCTGATATAAAAACTATGGATTAAAAATACTCTGTTCCTTATGAAAAAATTGTAAACTTGCCAGCGTTTTTGGAAGTAGATTTGGGTCTTGAATATGTATATAGCCTTCAGACGTACTAGAAATGTACAAAATTTCATAATTCCTTCAAAAATATCTCAAAGTAGGAATTTCACTTTATGTTCCAATATATGTATTTTTAAAATCTCCAGAAAAGACTACTCGTCATTTTAACTTTAAAACGTGGATAATTCTGGACACACATTTATTTGAAGGCTCAAATTTTGACTGTGAGCTGTGAACACTATTTTTGATTGGCTTAACTAAAAACTTTCTGGTTCTGAGACTAAGGTACGATTGGACAAACAGAGTGAAACTGTCCCTTTTTAAATACACATTGGCTATAATAAGATCACTGAGTGGTTACTATCAAGTTTCACCGAAGGAAGAAGGTAGTAATCTGTCAAAGGCACATGACCTGCCCGCAGTTTTCATTGACAATTTTTTCCAGGACATTATTTTGGTATGGATGAGCACATTTTGTCATATATATTTTGTTATGAATATTGTTACCGGTGCTGGGTATTGCTAATCATGCCACAACACGATACATATTGTTATACAAGAGTTAGGATACGATACATATTGTAAAACAAGAGTTAAGATTTGATACGTATTGTAAAACAAGAGTTAAGATTTGATACGTATTGTAATACAAGACTTAGGATGCGATACGTATTGTAAAACAAGAGTTAAGATTTGATACGTATTGTAAAACAAGAGTTGACATTTGATACATATTGTAATACAAGACTTAGGATGCGATACGTATTGTAAAACAAGAGTTAAGGTTTGATACGTATTGAAATACAAGAGTTACGATACGATATGTATTGTAAAACAAGAGTTAAGATTTGATACATTTTGTAATACAAGAGTTAAGATTTGATACGTATTGTAATACAAGAGTTAAGATTTGATACGTATAATATAATACAAGAGTTACGATACGATATATATTGTAAAACAAGAGTTAAGATTTGATACATATTTTAATACAAGAGTTAAGATTTGATACATATTTTAATACAAGAGTTAGGATACAATATGTATTATAATACAAGAATAAGGATACGTTACGTATTGTAAAACAAGAGTTAAGATTTGATACATTTTGTAATACAAGAGTTAAGATTTGATACGTATTGTAATACAAGAGTTAAGATTTGATACGTATAATATAATACAAGAGTTACGATACGATATATATTGTAAAACAAGAGTTAAGATTTGATACATATTTTAATACAAGAGTTAGGATACAATATGTATTATAATACAAGAATAAGGATACGTTACGTATTGTAAAACAAGAGTTAAGATTTGATACATTTTGTAATACAAGAGTTAAGATTTGATACGTATTGTAATACAAGAGTTAAGATTTGATACGTATAATATAATACAAGAGTTACGATACGATATATATTGTAAAACAAGAGTTAAGATTTGATACATATTTTAATACAAGAGTTAAGATTTGATACATATTTTAATACAAGAGTTAGGATACAATATGTATTATAATACAAGAATAAGGATACGTTACGTATTGTAAAACAAGAGTTAAGATTTGATACATTTTGTAATACAAGAGTTAAGATTTGATACGTATTGTAATACAAGAGTTAAGATTTGATACGTATAATATAATACAAGAGTTACGATACAATATATATTTTAAAACAAGAGTTAAGATTTGATACATATTTTAATACAAGAGTTAAGATTTGATACATATTTTAATACAAGAGTTAGGATACAATATGTATTATAATACAAGAATAAGGATACGTTACGTATTGTAAAACAAGAGTTTAGATTTGATACATTTTGTAATACAAGAGTAAGGATACGACACATACCGGTATTGTAATACAAGACTTAGGATACGATACGTATTGTGATACAATCGTTACGACAATTTCAGTTAAGTCACTAAGGAAAATTTGTGATTACATTCACCAATTTATATAAATTCTCAATTTTTATGGAACGTGAGGTATCATCAAGTATCTATACACGACCTCATGATACGATACACGTCATGTTGCAATACATTTTTTTGAACTAAGTATTATCCAATTCATTTCAGACAAATATAGCAGGAACATTTAACGTGATACGATTAAGCGTGGAGTTGATGGCTAAAAATAAACCCACCTCAGACGGTCAACGTGGTGTAATCATAAATGCATCTAGTGCTACAGGTTATGATGGAAACTTTGGACAATGTGTATATTCTGGTTGTGCTGGTGGACTAAACAGCATGACTTTACCTTTATCTAGAGATTTAGCTAAGCAAGGAATAAGAGTAGTGTCAATAGCTGCAGGTAAATCATCAATTTATCTTCCAAATCCCATTTTGGTTTCTGGCTCAACAAGGTATTCTCTCACTTATTTTGATTCAATTAAATGGGGGACGTATATTGCCGTCACCCATGTCAGTCTGTAGGTCTGTCCACAATTGCTCGTAAACACTCTACAAGACACAATTCTTGACGGATTTTGACAAAACCTGGTGTGAGTGTTCGTAATCACCCAAGGATGAATCCTATCGAAAATAAGAAGAATCGAAAAGTATTTAGTAGGAGTTACTGCCCCTATTCTTGAGAACGCATTCAATTTTTAGCTTGTAAACACTCTAGAAGGCACAATTCTTGACTGATTTTGACAAAACTCACCCAAGGATAAACCCAATTGAAAATCGGAAAAATAAAAAAATATTCAGTATGTGTTATTGCCCCTGTTCATGAGAATGCGTTTGACAATGTTTATCTCGTAAACACCCGCGAAGGCACAACTCTTGAAAGATTTTGAAGCAATTTGCTGTGAGTGTTAACACCCAAGGATGAACCCTATCAAAAAAATCAAAAATTGTTTCATAGGAGTTATTGACCTCGTTCTTGATTCTTGCCAGATTTTGAGAAATCTTGGTTTTATTAATCAGTACCACGCTGAAGGTTGAATATTTGCTTTCTAGAGTTTTCACGGGCTAGAAATTGAACAACTTTCAAGAACAAGGGCAATAACTCAATATTATTCAGTATCGCCCTAAAGAGTTCTTTACACGTGAAATTATTTTTTCCAGAAAAAATCCATAAAACAAGAAAATAAATTGGTCTGGCCTAAGACGTGTGTTCAGTTCTCTTTCAATTCTTTGTGTTTTTTAGGGTTATTTGATACACAGTTGATGGATTTTCCTGATTTTGTTAGAAAATACATGTATAGTAAAACTGTGTCACCTAAACGGTATGGTCATCCTCAGGAATTTGTGGATTGTGTGGTGTCTATAATTGATAATCCAATGTTGAATGGAGAAGTGATAAGACTTGATGGTGCTTTCAGAAGAATTTGAAAGACTGGATTGATGACCTCTCATAGACCTAATTTACGTGTCGGCCATGTTGAATCCAGAACAAGGCTCATAACACAAACACACAAAGGTAACAGCGTGTCACTGTAGTAAATCGCCACCTTGACATCTTTAAAGCCTCTTTCTCCAATCCCTCATTTTACATCATTAAATTTGGAATTGATTAAGCTACTTAATGATAGTTTCAGATATTTCTGAGAAATGGCAGTTTTAAGGCCCTTTTCTCACTGTTGATTGGACGTTTAGTGATGTTACATTGTCTATTCATTCATATGACGTCGCCATCTTATCAATGGATGATGAAATTTGCGTTATGAACCTCGCTTTCAGTGTCTCAAAAAAGACGCGTGAATATGGACTATATACCATAATTGGATAAGATTACAATTTTTTGTAATCTATTTGTAATTAGACTGTCAATCAAGTTAAAGATGTCCAAGGAAAAGTAACCTGAAATATCTTGAAAGATAAAGGAAAGAGTGTTTTAGTGAACTGAAGGCCAAAACTGGCTAAATTGATGTAAAGCGTATTTTAGTCTTTGTTAATTTGTATTTATTACAATTTGTATAAACAAAAAAAGACTTTTTGACATTTCTTGATCAGTAACTTATTGGAAATTTGTGGGAAATTGTCTAATTTTGCTAATTATGAATTAATCATGGACAAGAAATTAGAACACCTATTTTCTATTCATTTAAGTATTAGCATTTTCATCTTTATAAATTTTGAAACAGGGAATCCATCTTTAATGCTATTATGTCATTATGGTTTACCAATTATGCATTGTAATTCATTCATCTAATGTAGTTTTGTTTTTATTGGTTTGTATCCATATCAACAAGTTTAAGTTGTTTGGAATACCAAAATCACGATAACAATAAAGTTTTTAATATTTACCACAATAAAGCTTTCAGTATTTACCACAAGAAAACTTTCAATATTTACAACAAGAAAGCTTTCAATATTTACCACAAGAAAGCTTTCAATATTTACAACAAGAAAGCTTTCAATATTTACAACAAGAAAGCTTTCAATATTTACCACAATAAAGCTTTCAATATTTACCATAAGAAAGCTTTCAATATTTACAACAAGAAAGCTTTCAGTATTTACCACAATAAAGCTTTCAGTATTTACCACAAGAAAGCTTTCAATATTTAGAACAATATGGCTTTCAATATTTACCACAATAAAGCTTTCAATATTTACCACAATAAAGCTTTCAGTATTTACCACAAGAAAGCTTTCAATATTTACAACAATATGGCTTTCAATATTTACCACAATAAGGCTTTCAATATTAACAACAATAAAGCTTTCAATATTTACCACAATAAGGCTTTCAATATTAACAACAATAAAGCTTTCAATATTTACCACAATAAGGCTTTCAATATATGCCATAATAAAGCTTTCAATATTTACAACAATAAGGCCTTCAATATTTACCACAATAATGCTTTCAATATATACCACAATAAGGCTGATTAAAATTCATATTGATCGTATGTTTTGTTGCAGGAAATTTGTTATTTTCATAGTTTTACCCACCTACATGGTGATATTATTTTTAAACCATACTTTAGTTGTAGTCTGATTTTTTAATTTCGGTCAAGGGAGTAGTGTAGTCTCCCTTTATATTCAGTCTCTTCACTTCATTGTATCATAGACCTATATACTGACACAGTTCTATGATTTTATAACGACCAATTTAATTATGCATTTCAAGAGCAATATATTGCAAACTAACAATCACTTTTATCTTATGAACGTATGAAATTTGACAAGAATTTGGCAAGTTTTAATGGATTATGCAATTTTCATTGAGTAATGTACACTAACCAAACCTATATTCTACAATATTCTTGAACTCCCTCACTCTTATTACAAAAACAAGCTTTTTAGAATTTCAGTTTGAATATTTCCAACTCACAGTTAAAGAATTTCAATTGAGATATCTAACATTTCATCCATTTGTTGATATTAGAAGGTTGTAGCCATAGTGGAGAGTCATGGTGTCATTTCTCTGGATATTTTCTAATGTGGGAACCCGGAGCCGAATACATATTACGCGATCTTGGCCTAAAAAGCACTCAAGGTCACCAGATTTTCATTTATGCAGAATGAGATTAAAAATCAACATTTTACCAATCAAATGACCTCAAGATTCTAACGCTCTCAACAACTTTGCTAGTCCTCAACCAACTGATAGGGCCATTCAGGACACTTCTTAGTCTACCTTTGGTGCTTTGGTGCTGAACAATTTCCTCTGCCCCCTTTTGGCTCCGCCTCTGTGTCATACAAAGAAAAGTTGTCCCTTTAAGCATACATTTGTAGTTCTTAAGAAATATAAGTTTATTAAACCGAAGTAGGCACATATAATGCTGTGGCTAACTCTCATTAAGAGTGTTGATATATGTGCATATCAACACGTGGAATCTAGAAAACCGGTCAATATTCTCATAAGGAAAGAGTAACATTTCCTCTAATTATTTTTTAGTAAGTTATTGTACATTTCCTTTTCCTGCTTTTATTGATTGATCTTTTACATAAATATAAGTAGCAACAATTAAAAATCAATGATGAATTTCCCTTGTAAAAGTTTGAAAATGAATTACATATATCCTGTTTGTAATTTTGTTAAAGGTTTTAAATTAAATTGGTTTTAATTGTATTTAAATGTATTCAGTTCACAGTACTATAACTAATAATTACACTTCACTGCCTTTTCTACTTTCCTATCTCTGTATACTCTTTATCAATTATATAATTCACTAAATTAAAACAAGGCTTTAATTTGCCGACAGCTCATAATCGTAAGAGCAGCGCAGTTTATTTCCAACATTGAAAAAAATATAAATACAAATTACAATATAAATTAACAAATAAGTAAATATAACGACACAATTAACTACATAATAATAAAAATAATTTCATAACAAGGCATATAATTACAAAGCTTGATATATTACACAAAAATGCCGTATTGGCTGATGCATGTGTTTTTTTTTTTTCTTTTTTTTTTCCTTCAACAGCGACCTTGCCAGACAGGAACAACCAGAGATAAAAAAAACAATACTGATTGAAAAACCTCTGGAAACCTGTGTCCGAACAAATGTAATGACCTCCTCGGAGCTATACTCGGACAAATGTAGGTATAATAAATAAACAATTGCTTTATTTATAATCTTTACAGATCTAAGCGAGCTGGTAAAATGACAAAATTAATATATTATATTTCCCGCGCTTATTCACGATTCACGTGATCATTATCACGTGTATACTGAACACATATAAGTGTTAAAACCGTTTATACAATAACGTTCAGTTATTGATTATGGTTGTATTGCCTATGGTAAAGCAAGTGATACTCAACTGAAGAAACTCGACGTTCTACACATGAAAGCTATAAGTATTGCCATCAGGGCAGTTGTAGGTACGAAGATTGGGGGAGGGAGGAACTATCTCTCGAATTCTGGGGGAAACTTCAGTATTTGTCCGAAAGCTGTCCAAAGTATTCCATCATCAGAAGATTTACTCGTGTCGGAAATAACCAGAAGAATCGGAGTATTTCTTACGGGCAAGCGGTCATTGATCTATTGAGAAAGCACCAGCTCGATCAAGTAACGATCCTTGAACGACGCCTATCGGCTACTCCTTTTTGGAAGTCAACACCCAGCTAATCTAGAGTACCAACAAGCACGAGAACCCAGTGGGAGCAAGAGCTCGCGCTTTTGATCTCATTGATTCCGTGTACGCTGATCATTTGAAGATCTTCACCGATGGTTCCAAGAGTAGTACAGCAACAGGTTACGGTTTGTGCATCCCAGCAAAAGGCATCCACATTAATAAAAAGATCAGCCCGCATTGTTCAGTGTTCACAGCAGAACTTCTTGCCATTAGGGAAGCGGTAGCATGTCTATCCGTCAATCACACGGAGCATGCCGCGATTCTATCCGACTCGCTAAGCAGCCTCCAATCTATTTTTCTCACCTCTTCTAATGGCAGGTCAGAAGTTATTGCCGAAATGAGAACAATGATCCACAACTACCAAACCAACAACGACCATAAGATTGAATTAGTATGGATTCCATCGGACGTCTCCATTCCTGGCAATGATCAAGCAGACCGTTGTGCCAAGGAAAGTCTGAGTCTGGAGGATATCGAGTCTGTAGAATACTCCTATTCGGAATTCTGCAGTATCGTATCTTCTAGGATCAACCAGAAATGGGCCTACATGTTACGGAACCTCGACACCGCAAGATACCATATTGATCCGAAGATACCAAACCATACCAAACCATCCATCTGTAGCCATCTACAAAGTGGCAACCAGACTCCAGACCAACAACGTACTACGAGACCACCAGTTCAACGCCATTGAATGTCGCTGCGGCCACGTTGCCACAAGGTCGCATGTCCTCATTCAATGCACTGAGCTGAAACCCGCTCGTAAGCCACTAACAGAGTACCTGGAAACCAACGGCATACCACTCACCATACAGAATGTTTTGGCTCCATCTGTCTTGAACAGATAGGCTAAGTTTTTATACTCAAAGTTCCTTAACACTTTTAATTGTATCCAATCAATTTATCAAGTTTCATTGCAGAAACATCAGAGAACATCTTTCCCCCTTTAGTTGAAAGCTTTTCCCCCTTTTATTTTTTTTCGGCCCTCTTTTTATTTTCAGATCTTCCAGTTTTCCAACAGTTATTATATAATCTAACCAAACCAAATCAACGACTACCATTCGACTACCAATCAACAAGAAATACCATGATCAGAACGAGTTGGGAAGAATGAAGGAAATCGAGTAACTCACACCACACCATCCAGGGCCGAGTTTCACCACCATGTCATTCGAAGAATCAACAACCAAACCAACAACACAGGATCATCCAATTTGAACCAATCCAACTACCAACTACTACGACTACCAACAACTACCTAGTTTGCGATATCAGCATCCGCTGGAAGCGAACGTTAACTTGTCATCTACCTACCTTATACAATAATTTCCCTCTATACTTCGAAATGAGGGAAATTAAAATTGCTATCTCCTCTCTGAGTTCTAATAAACCTAACCTACAACCTCGTGTCCTTTCTGAGCTTTTGTAATGACCAACCGAGTTGTTTTCTGTCTTACCTGTATGGTCATTCTGCCTGAATATTTTGTTCATTTAGGATGGTTTATACTGTCATCTAAATTATATATGGTGTAAATTGAAGTTTCTTCAATTTAGCGTTTCTTTAATTTTTATACGCCCACATTATAATGTTGTCGTATATTGTCGTCGGCCCTGTCCGTCGGTCCGTCCGTACACAATTTGATTTTGAAAGCAATAGAGACAACAGTTTTTATCTGTTTTGAATGAAATTTGGTGTGATCATTTATATTCATTATATTTTGGACAAGTTCGAATTTGGCTATCTTTCGATGAACAATTTTTGAGTTATTGCCCTTGACTTATGAAAAACGCGTCAAAATTTGGTTGTGAACACAATAGAGACTACAGTTTTCATCCAATTAAAATGAAATTTGGTGTGAATATTTATAATGATGAGATCTTGGACAAGTTCGAATTTGGCTATCTTTCGATGAATGGTTTTTGAGGTAAATTGCTCTTGATTTATGAAAAACGCGTCAAAATTTGTTTGTGAACACTACAGTTTTCATCCTATTTAAAGGATCCTTAACTGTGAACCCAAGTCGTTATCTATAGTTGTTTCTTTTTTTTTTGCTACTTTCTTTTTATATTGATTGCTCTAGTTCAACAAAATAAAAGATGATGGATTATCAAAGGTTTCTGAGAAATTGTCAATTCGTGAAAGATTCCTGAATCATAAAAGTTGAAATAAAAGTTTTACTGGTGAAATCACATCATAAATCCAGTATTTTATAGAATGAGTGTATTCGAATCAGTCTTTATTTGCAAAATTGTCTTCTCACTTTTCGTTCATCCTGAGATAAATGCACTCCTTTTTTATCTTGTAGGTTCTCTTATAGCAAATTATATATTTTTCTGTTTCTATGTTTTAGTCTAAATAGATTGTAAAGAGTTTTCTAAATTTTGTATGTGTTTTAGGGACATTGATAGAATTGGTTGCAACATTTCAGTTTTCAGTCAGATGTTTATGGGTATTGCAAATTTACAATTCCACTAAAACTAAGTGTTTTATGACGTCACTATTGCAAAATCTACTAATATATAAGCAGGTTTTTGTGGTATTCACATATATGGTTAAGCATTTCTATAATTACAGGAACCACAGTCATCTGATGGTAAATTAGTCTGATGCAAAAAAAGCCATAAATGGCCCAAATAAACATAAAAGTTACAAAAACCTCTTTAATAAACAATCTCTTAAATAATGATGCAAATACTTGAAATTTTCAAATCATTTGAGAAATGGAAAAAACATTGTATTATTACATAAAATGAGTGGTCTGATGTAGGCATAAAGAGACAGGTTAGTCATTTTTTGACCAATCATTTTTTATTCTCAGAAAGGGGAATTTTTTAGCTGAGCCAATCAATTATAGTGTTCACAGCTTACCGTTGAATTTCGAGCCTTCAAATCCATGTGTGTCCAGAATTATCTGCGTTTGAATGTTAAAATGACGACTCGTCAATTTATGATACTCATATATAGAAAAGACATATATAGAAATAGTGAATAAAATTCCTAGTTTGAAATATTTTTTAATGAATTATGCGATTTTCATAATTTTCTAGTACTTCTTTAGACTGTTTACATATATTCAAGATAAAAATCACCCTCCCAAAATACCTGTCTCTTTAAAATTGTTAACACATTAAGATCAATGGCTTAGATAGCAAAAGTGACAGAAAAAATTTATTACTTTAATAGGGTCATCAGCAAAGAAGTAATAAGTTTCTCACTTAGGAGCTAATTCAACAGATAAATAATATGGCCTTTAATGAGCTTGATTTTTGTTTACTAAATATCTAACAACAAAGGAACATTACATCTAATGTGTTTATAATCATACAGCCTAGGGCCAGATTAGAAAGTCAAAGAGGAAAATAATTAGAGGCTTTAACTCCTTAAATATCACCTAACAATTAGATCATTAGAAAATTATAAATCAAATATAATGACCTTATGTTAAACAGACAAATTGTAATTTGCTCTTTTCTCGCCCAATTGACGGATTAAAGGTGTGAATAAGTCTAAATCATTAAATGGTATTTTGTTGAATTTAGATGATTGAAGAAAGAGATTTTAATTAGATTAGATAGTTTTGAAACACAACTAAACTAATAAGGTGTGATATTCTCCATTTTCAGCCCTTTTGAGATTTTAGGGGTTTAGACAACCCTCTGTAGTCTTCAGAAGTACTAGATTTGTACACAAATTGCATAATTCCTTGATATATAAATTCCTTCTATATATAAATGTATTTTCTACATATGGCAAAGTCTCAAGAAAAGACGAGTTATTTTAACTTTCAAATGTAGATAATTCTGAACACACATGGATTTGAGGGCTCAAATGCCTATTACATTATTATTGGTTTAGCTTAAAAAAAAAATACCTGTTTCTGAAACTAAGGTACGATTGGTCAAACTGATGTCCCTTTAATACTTTCTGAAATCATCTGACTCAATTATTTTTTCATCATTGACAAATGTAGATTCACATGAAAACGTGTTTGTTTTACCATATCCTAGGTCAGAAATATTAAAGATGTAATTTAGAGTAAAAATGTCATATTTCACATATTGTACGCCTCTTTGAATATTATTAGAACTATTTGCGCTTTGATATTTTCATTGTATTAAGAGTGAAAAAGTTCATAAAAACTCCTATTTAAAGCACTGGCCAAGGTCACAAATAAACTAGAGTGGAGTTAACAAAATTAGTATTCAGTTTTGAACATAAAAAACCGTAGGCTATCAAAGTCTTCTGTCAACAGTTCTAAAAGATAAGAAAGTATGAAAAGAACTGGAATGTGAGACACACTTATCGTTGAATAGTATGAGAAAAATTGTCTAATATGTTGCTTTCTTCTGTTTTTTTTTTTAAATTGTAATTTCTTGACTATCCACCTGTTAGGTCTATATGTAATGGGATAAAGATGTCAACTGGTGGAATTCACCTGATCCATGCATATCACTTTACAAAATAAAATCTGACGTAAGGTTTGTCTACAGGTGGATGTGACAATCTTAATTTTTGTCATCTTGTTACAAATCTTGTCAAATTAATTAGGCAAGGCATGGTACACATCAGAATGTACATTTTCATATAATTGTAGAGGAACTAAAGGTCGGAATTTCATTCTGAAAAGAATGATGAAAAGGGAGCAGATGATAATATCTATCAGTCTTTTTCATCGGTAGGCACAATATGTTAAATTAACTAGGCAAGCCATGGAACTTCGACTATACACATCAGACTACATTTTCATTTGATTGTAGAGGAACTAAAGGTCAGATTTTCATTCTGAAAAGGATTATGGAAAGTAGGCAAGTCAGTAGGTACAAAATATCAAATCAACACGGCAAGGCATGAAACTCTGACTGTACACATCACACTGTACATTTTCATTTAATTGTAGAGGAACTGTAGGTCTGATTTTCATTCTGAAAAGTGATGGAAAAGGGGCAGATGTTCACCTAGATGAACATGGCAAGGCATGGAAATTTGACTGGAAACATTACACTGTACATTTTCATTTAATTGTAGAGAAACTAGAGGTCGGAATTTAATTCTGAAAAGAATTATGGAAAGTAGGCAAGTATTTGGTTGATTATATTAAACATAGATACAAAGTCTGACACACAATCTAAACATGATAACATTCAAGTTACACAACTTACACCTGAGTATCATTTATCATAGATAAACAGATGCTGAAACTGAAAACTTGATGAATTTCCTTTGATTACCAACAAGTCTAGTCAACACCTGCAATTTATCAGCTGATTTTTTTATGACCTAGTTTAACATGAATAATTATGATTCACCTCCGGTCAAAGGTGACATGGATTTGTTCATTTTCTATTCAAAAACCAATCCTTTGCTTGAATACATTCATCAACACTCTTAAACCTTTCACCATTCACCGTTAAGTAGGCCAAAATCAAACAATACTTATGTATAATGATGATGATTTATTGGCCATCCCTTGATATTTAGTTATTATAGTGATTTAAATACTATTATGAGGTCACTATATCATTTGTGGTTTAAAGGGACAGTCACTAGTCATTTGACCAATCAAACTTTAGTCTCAGAAACAGGGATTTTTTTAGCTAAGCTAATCAGTAATAGTGTTCACAGCTCACTGACAAAATTTGAGCAATCAAATCTATGTGTGTACAGAATTATCCGTGTGTGAAAGTTAAAAAGACCAGTCGTCTTTTCTTGAGACAATATATAGGAAAGACACATAGAAAGTAAAATTCCTCGTTCGGGATATTTTTGAAGGAATTATGCGATTTTCGTTCATTTCTAGTACTTCTGAAGACTATTTACATATATTCAAGACTAAAATCAACCCCCCAAAATAATGAATCTTGCCCTTTAAAGGAAATATTAGCCTACTGATTTCACACTTTTGTCATAAATTGCATGTTAATGAATATCATTATGTGACATCAGTTTCACAACTCAACTGTACAGATAGTTTTAGAATGATTTCACTTTGATAGTTTTCCTTCAATATTAATATACTTCCATCTTAGAACTTTCAACCAAAATGTCAAAAAGTTTGGTTGATAGTTGACTGTAATGGACTTTAAAGCAAGTTTTGTAGATAATGTGTGCCAATG